AGGGAGTTCTCACAAGGACAGAGGGATGAAAAAGCCCTGGCACCCAGAAGCCCTCCACTAGCCCTAGAGGCCTTTCCTTCTGTGGGGTCCTTGGCCTCTGTCCAGCTGCACCTCTCTCCTGTCACCCACCTGAAGCTGGTTAAAGGGCCTCCAGACCCCCCTGCCCACCTTCTCGCATTAAACAACAAAATGAATTATCCCAAGATGCCTGGGAAGAAAGCCACTGCTTAATGAAAAGCGAATGAGGGTCATTATGCTTACACTATAGTGTTGGCTGATGCCAGAGACAAAATGGGGAAATTGCCCTGGTGAGGGTTTTGTTGCCAAAACCAAATAAACCAGTGAAGAGTCCATAGAGGTAAATGTATGTAACAACCTTCAAGAACCAAACTAAATACCCAGCAATTCTCAGCAGCCAGAGGCCCAGTCCTGTCCACCCCACCTACCCCATGTTCGGGACCCACCTGTTCTGAGCCCCACATCCTGCCTCATGATGGGGGAGGCTGCCCTGTAAGAGGCCACTGTCAGCTTTCCTGGGGAAGGGGAGGTGGACCTGGTCACTGCGGGGGAAAGTTCCCCCATGTGGCGCAAGGCCATCTGGGCCTGATGTAATACAGGTTTCCTTAGCAATGATGTCATAAATACAGGGCGGGGCAACACATTCTTGGTTCCCAAGGCTCAAAGGCAAGTGACTGCCAGAAGGGTTCTACCCTACAGGGCAGAGCACCTGCATTCCACTAGCCTGGATTGCTATATCTCACTCATTTTGGTCCTTCCCCCCGCACCCCAGTCATGTCCCTGTGGTGCCCCTGGGTTCCCACACTCCTCATCTGGCAACAGTTGTTGTTCCTGATCCTGGCAGCCCCGCTTCCAGAGAGGTCCTGCCGACCACCAAGCCAGAGTTGTCCCCTGAACCCTGGTCTTTGCCTAATCTCCTGCCAGAATTGCCTGATACCCTTACTCCACAGCTACAGCCAGAGGGCTTTGATGACCTAGAGTCTTCTGCTCCCTCCCGGGAGTTGTCCCCACTTCTAGAATCCTCTGAGCAAATTGAACTTTCTCAAGTCCAGCCGGAGGCCCAAACCTGAAATCGCAAGCCTGCAAAGGTCCACTCCTCTTTACTTCTCCAAGAAGTCAAAGATCAACTCTCACAGCCCCCCGAGGAAGCTGAACCTTCTACAACCCAGCAGGCTCCCCGAGCTCAGTATGAACTTGGTACTGAGGAGCATACAGGTCAGCTGTCGATGCACCAGGATGCAAATGCGCCATCTGGAAGTAGGAGTGAAGCTCATCATTCAAACATGGCATTTGTCACAGTGAGACCTGTGGACATGAAGCTTACCACATCTGCAGAGGCAGGGAAAAAGCCACAACCTACTTCAAGCCACCTGCAGATTCTGACTGAAGCCCCAGAGAGTCCTGAGGAGGAGGAACCTTCCTCAACCCAACAAGAAGTCCTGGCTCAGACTTCAGAGCTCTCTGAAGAAATGGAAATTTCCTCAACCCACCAAGAGGCCCCAGCTCAGCCTCTAGGCCCTCTTGCGGAGGCTGAACTTTCTGCCACTAAGACAAAGCCAGCTCAACCTTCTGAGTCTTCTAGGACAGAAGAACCTTCTGAAATCCAGTTGAAAGCCCCAGATCAGCCCTCAGATTTGGAAACTGAAGAGCTGGAAACTTCTCCAACTCAGTTGAAGCAACCAGCTCAGTTTTCGGACTATGGTAAAGAAAGTGTCAACTCCACATCACCACAAAGCTAAGCATCCACACTTGCTCCATGTGACAACCTCTTCAATCTGCAGCTTGCCATAACCCCAGAACCCACCACAGAGGAGGGAAACTTCCCAGTGCTCCCCGAGGCTGCAGCTCAACTCTCAACTCCAGTGAATGATGTGGAACCTTCTCTAAGTCAGCAAGGGCCCCAAGTCTGTTTTCTGAGCCCTCCAAAGGAGCTGAGCTCTTACAATTTCAGCAGGAGGCTCCAGCTACATCTTCAGAACTCGCTCAGCAAGAGACCCAAATTGGTAATCTACACACTTTTGAGGAGGGTAAACCATCTTGGACCACTCAAGAGGCTGCAGCTCAGCCTCCAGAGCTCCCTAATGAACTCATACCTCAGCCTCCAGAACTACAGGAGAAAACAGTCTCTCCTCTAGGTGATGATCAAGTTCAGCCTCCAACACTGACCTGTGGCACCATTACTCCTTCAGAGTCATTGTCTGGTGGGGTTGAAATTGAAAGTTCAACTGCACAGGAGGCCCCAGCTCAGTCCTCAGTGTCCCTTGAGCAGCTTGAACCTCTCGGAGACAATCAAGAGCTTACAACTCCACAGCCAAACCCTGCCATAAAGGATGAACTCTCTTCATTTGATAGCAAGGTTCCAACTCCATGCCCAGAGCTTGCTGGGGCACATTCCCCAGCCCAGCCGCAGAGCTTAGCTATGTCCCCAGGCTCCTCTGGTATAGCAGTTTTGCCAATGCAGCAAGAGCTCGTAGCTTAGTCTTCAGGACTCCCCTGGAAGGTTATTCTTTCTCTTTTGTTGACAGAGAGAGTAACATTTTCAGCCCAGCCTTCAGAGCCACCTGAGGACACAGAACCATTTTCAGTCCCCCAGGAGGAGGATGCAGCTCCACTTTCAGAGCCACCCAATGAGATGGAAACTTCTCAAGCTCAGCAGATGACCCCACCTCAGCCTACAGAGGAGGAAGAACCATCTCCCGCACCGCCACCAGCCGCATCTCCTCCTCCAGATCCTCCTGAGGAGGTAGAACTTTCTCCAACCCAGCCTATGATGCGCCCTCAGCTTCCAAGTGAGCCACCCAGTGAGAGCACAGCTCACCCTCCACCCCGTTCTGAGATGACAGTTCCAACTCCAGCTCAGGGTCAAGCTCAGCAGCCAAGCGTAGCACTTCATCCTTTGGACCTGGAAGTCACCATCATTCCAGAACGTACTACAGACGGTGAATTTTCTACAGCCCTGAAGAAGGCTCTTCCTTTGGAGGCTCTTCCTCCAAAGCACCATGAAGTGACACTTCCACCTCCAGACTGGGTTCAGACTCAGCATTCAAAACTCAGTCTGCTCACAGTCCAACCTTTGCACAGGAAGCTTACCAGTGCTCCAGGAATTAGTGCAAAAGTTAGGTCTTTTCCAACTATGCCCGAGACCCCATCTCAGCCTCCAGAACCACCTAAGGTGGTTCAAACTCTGGCGCCTCATGAGGTGAAAGTTGTAACTCCAGGTCTGGAGCCAGCTCAGCATCCAACATCACCCACAGTCACAGGACCAACCTTTGAACCCAGAGCTCACGGCTGCAGTACTCACCATAGAGACTCTCTCCTCCTCCAGAGCAGCCTGAGGTAATGCTTACACACCCCGAGCAGGTGCAGGCTCAGTATCCAAACCTGGCTGAAGTCACCGTTCCGCCTTTGGATGTGCAATTTGTGGTCACTGAGTATTCTGTGAGTCACTCTCCAGGAAAGGCTTCCACGGTGCAAGAGAAGCAGAATGCCAGGACAAACACCGACATATGTGAGCTCTGTACCTGCCAGAATGAGACCTTGTCGTGTAATGGTCTCAGCCCAAATCACAAGCTCCACCAAGTGCCTGTATTAGAGCCCAACAACACCTTTACCACCTTCAATTTCCAAGAAAAAGCTATTTTTCACCTTGGTGAAAATAGCTGGACAACCTACAGGTGGGCTGAGAAACTAAATCTCAGTGAAAATGGCCTGACTGGATTACATAAAAATTCCTTTAAAGGCCTGCTGTCCCTCCAGTATTTAGATTTATCCTGCAATAAAATACAGTTTATTGAAGCACAAACATTTGAAGCACTACCCTTTTTGCAGGTTTTAAAGCTTCGCTGTAACTTAGTTACGCAGATTAGCTTTGGGAAGTTTAGGGTATGGCATGGAATGCAGTTTTTGCACAGAGTCATCCTCAATCACAATCCTCTGTCAAGTGTTGAAGATTCCTATCCTTTTAAATTGCCAGCATTAAGATATCTAGACTTGGAGACAACACACACGCCACTTCCGGCAGTCGAGAACATCCTCATGATGACACTTGAATTGAAAACACTGATCATACTGAGGCACATGGCCTGCTGCCTCTGCCAATTTAAAAGGGATATTGAGGTTGTCTGCAAGACCGTCAAGCTGCACTGTGACAGTGAGTGTGTGACCAGTCCCACGCAGTGTCTTGAGGAAGCCCCTGTAGGCAACCCAGAAGGAGCCTTCATGAAGGTGTTGCAGGCCCAGAAAAAGAACACCAAGACCGAGCTGGTGATCGAGTCTGGAAAGTCATCTTCTGAACAAAGTGATGTCAGCTGGTCAGACTTCATGGACGAGGAGCTTGACTCTAATGATGAAAATGATGTGGCTGGAGCACTCAGTCATATCCTGCCATATTTCTCAGAGGTAAATCTAGAAGGTTTAGACTCATTATTGCCACCCATTCAACTCCTTTTCTCAACTATCCAAAATGAAGATAATCCCCAGGGTTACATGAAAGGCAATATGAAAAACCCCTCTCATCAACCTGTGTCCAGCAGTTTGGCTTACAGAAATGAACTGAAGAAGCTGTATTTTCTGCAGAGTTGGTTAGATGCAGAAATTCAGGGGAAACTTGGGGAGGTTAAGAAAAAAGAGAAAACAGGCATGCTTACACAGTCCAGCCTTTCAAGTCCCAAATTTCAAATCATTCCCGACGTTCCTGAGAAATTGGCAAGTGCTCAAGCACAGGAAAACTGGCTGGTGGAAGATCAGCATGAAGGGAGAAGGCAGCAGACAGTGGACAGGGTCCTCAAGGGCCTGAAGGGCATACAGAAAAGACTGCTCGAGAGAGGCAGAAACAGAAGGTGAGGGAGAAGCAGAGCACCCAGCCACTGGCCGAAAACACTGCAGACAGACGGAGCCTCAGGAGCCCCAGCACAGGGAAGCTGGGGCAGAATGAGGGGGTGCTGGGGCCTGGGAACCCGCTCCATACAGAACAGAAGGTGCCCATGTCTTCTGCCCTGCAGGATCCCCTGCTGTGCAGGTCGGCCACCTCCGCCTTGGCCAAAGCCCCCCATGGGGCAAGGAACGGAGCCAAAGACCTCACCAACAGCATTTGGGTTTTAGAAAATGCCAGTTCAAGAGTTAAAAGCATGAAAGCTACCAAACTGATCTTAGGTTCCAAAAAAGGTCATGGCTTTCATAAAACTGCCTCTCTCGAGGCCCACAGAACACTCGAGGCCGACCACAGGGAGCAGCTCCCGAAGGAAGACACACATGGGAGGCTGAAGATTGCAGAGGGGCCTCTGTTCTCAGCACTGAGGAGCCTCATCTGTTTCCCCCTCTCAAGGGCTCCTCTCATCCTCTGGAGACCCACGTGTTCAGGACTATCCTTTCCCTGAATTACATGATCCTGCTGAAACCACTATAGGAAGTGCTGCTGTAGAAGTAGGAAGGAAAGCTGCAGGAAACACCCCTGAAAAAAATGTTTTTACCACAAACTCTCCAATTTCTGCCACAGATTCTGCCCTCACCCTGATATCCACTGATGACCACACCAATGAGAGGCACTCGGAGTACACCAGCACCAGCACTGAGCCACCCCCTCCAGAAACCTCTGTTCCCTTGCTGTCGTACCCCGGAGATGAGTTTGAGACCCAGCTAAACCAGCAGCTTCACATCCTCATTCCCAACAAGGAGGTTAGGGGGCTCATTTCGTATATCATAACCAGTCTGAAAAAGGACTGTTCCGAGACCCGCATGCACCTGGCTTGTGCCAAGCTCATCTCCAGAACAGGCCGCCTGATGAAGCTGCTCAGTAAGCAGCAGGAAGAGAAGGTGGCCCAGGCCCAGTGGGACACAGAGCAGTGGAAGAGTGAGACCTACATCAACAAGAGCTCAGGGGTCTCCAGCAATCAGAAAGCACAAGGTGAGCCAAGGGACCACACACAGGAAGTTCCAGGACACAGCTACAACAAGAAGCTCATCCTGGCAATATCAGTGACGGTGACCCCAGTGCTTCTGATCATCATCCTCTGTCTCATCGAGATTTGCTCGCACAGAACAGCTTCGGGGAAAGATGAGGAAGGGTCGTCAAGTAGCGATTGCGGGCCGAGAGGGAGGTACTCAGTGGAAAAGGACAGTCAGGAGGGCTTCTCCTCGTTTTCTCAGCCGCTGTGGCGCTGGTACCTGCGCAGACCTCTCAGCCTCTCTCAGCAGCATAGCATGGCAAAGAAGCTACACCACAAGGACTCTTCCAGCAAGGATGAGAGGGTCATATGGGAGGCCAGCGAAATCTCCTCAGAGTAATCTACAAAGGCAACTGAGTGACCCCTTCTCACCTTAGGTGATTTCAAAAAAATTTCAAAATAAAATCACAGGTACACATCCACATCCTGGCTGTGCTGACTTTGGGAGGAGCTGGGAGGAATTTGTTCAGGGGCCCAATCCAGGCCTTGGCCCTGGGTTGTGGCAGCATCATTGAGAGGGGTTTTGAGGGCCAACCTTAGCAACTCTCCAAGGTGGGGGGCATAGAGCCCTGGCTCCATGCGTGAAGGAGCAGTGTGGTCCTAAAAGGACAGCAGGTGTTTGCTCTGAGGCCCGGGAAGCCCTCAAGAGCAGAGCTTTGGGGATTTGGGAAAGGACCTGGACATGTGAGACCCAGAGAATGTACAAAGGAGACAGAGGACCTGCCTCGCCTCGGATAGAGATGTGAAGTAGGCTGGAGGAGGTGGCATGCACACAGCTGTCAGTGCCTCCAAGCCTTTCCCAGAACAAATGGGACTGGACAGAACTTTATTCCCCAAGGGCTTCTGCTAGGAGGCAGGATCATGTAATGAGAAAGAAACTGGCTGGAAATTGTAACCCAAAGTCTAGTCCTGGCCTTGACCCTGACCCATTGAGTGACCTTGGGCAAGCTCCTTCACCTCCCAGGGATGCTCTCTTCCACAGTTTATAGTGCGGCTTATTTTAAGGGTCGTGCATGCCACCTGTTTGCTGCCATTTTCACACGAGAGATCCCTAGGACATTTTATTAAGCCAAGGTTGCTGGCTCTCAACCAGAGGTGACCTTAATGCTCAGACACTGTGAGCACGTGGGGTCAGCCCGAACCCCTCTCCTGCTAATGTCCTCTTTCTCCTCAGTCCTTCTGTCTCCATGTAAGGGCACAGCATGGATGATTGCCTTTAAAATTGTTTTCTAAAAGGCTTACACAGCAGACGCAGTGAAGGCAGGACGGCAGTTGGCACCTCTTGCAAACAATGTTCCTGTGGCAGACACCCAGTCTTCCCTTTGGCAATCAGATCAATCTGTTGATTTATTTCACACATAATTACATCACAACTAGGATCACCATTATGTTGCAATCTTTGTCACCATCACATGAGTTCTATGGTCCTCTCCAGGATGATGTTGTTGATTTAAGCAGAGTCTATGGGCCTCTGTGTATATGTGTGCAAGGGCATGGGTGGGTGCATATGTGTGTGTGTGTGTGTGTGTTTGTATCACATCTTTGTGAGTAACACTGATCTCTGCAAAAACCCAGGGATGTAACATTTCAGGGACTTCTACTTGGCTCTTCCTACCATAATCATCTTCATTTTGTAGGCTAAGGAACTGATGTTGAGATTTTGGCCAGTTTACTAAGTGCACCTATTTTCACTCTACCTCTGACAGTGAGTTTTTTGTGCTGCTGTAACAGAATACTCCATACTGGGAATTGAAAACAAGCATCAATGCATTGGCTCACAGTCTGGAGGCTGGTTCCATAGTACAGTGCCGGCATCTGGCCATGGCCTTGCTGCTACATCATCATGTGGCAGAGGGTGGAAGAGCAAAAAGGCAAAAGAAAAATAAAACTGCCCTTTTATAACAGCACCAATCCCACCCCTGACAACGAAGGCTTCATGACCTATACCTCGTATGGGTCCCATCTATGACTCTGCATATGTATTGCTGGATCCTTCTTCAAGGGAGGCCATACACCCTTGAGAAATTCTTGAACTATGAACTGATTTATACTCAAGATCTGCAGAGAGACCTTGAGTTCCACTATGGCAACTCGGGTTCAGTTTCTACCCATCAGGCCTAGAATTTTCATACCTACTTGTATATCAAGCAGCATCCTACGAGGCTATTCACCTGTTTCACTGCCAGGGACCCAGCTCTTGTCATATGCAGGCCAAAACCTTCTAATAATAGCTCCGATGTTTATTATAAACATAGCACCTACTTTGTCCCAGAAAGTTGTGTACAACTACCTGCTATCCAAAGCATTAAGTTGACATTAAGACAGGAATGTCCACTGAATCTCTGACCTTCAGTGGATAGATAATGACCTGCGGCTTCCCAAGGATCCTGGGAACCCCCCACCCATCCCCGATGCACTTCTTATGATCTGGTGACTCTAAAGCACAAAAATGTTTTTAGGTCAGAGAGTGCAGCCAAGTGGTAGATCACTTTCTTACCATGCACAGGCCCTGGGTTCAATCCCTGGCATTGGGGGAAAATATTTCAAAACATTACCAGGAGATTTCAGCTATTGCTACTATTTGAGTCTGGGCTTCAGTTAACCCTAGCCAACTGTAGATGACACTCTCAGATGCCTGTGCCAATATTTTTAATCCCAAATCCCAAATAGATACATTTATATTAATTAATTTGGCCCAATCATGGTTTATATTTCTTTTTCCTTGGCTTTATATCCAAGTGATTTCTAGACTCTTGCCAGAAAGTCAGAAAACCTCTGCACCTTGCTGAGGTCTACAGGTTATCACCTCCCATAGCAAACTCGCAGTGAAATGGACTCTCCTGTTAGCCCAGTAGAGACAAGGGTAGTGGGCTCCCTTGGGATAGGAGGCTTCTGTGCAGAGATGATATTTGGGAGGAGAGGCCCATTCCTTCTGTCCACTATCAAGGGATTAAGGAGGATTTGATGGTTCAAAACCCTCAGCCACACCAGGTCTCCTTTTACTTAGTATGCACCTCATTCTCTGCAGTGTCTTGCCATGGTAATATAAGAAATCTTAGTGAGCCTAGGTCCCCACCCTCAATCTGAGCTGTGCCAGGCCAGCATTCTCTCAGTTTTCCTGAAAGCTAAACCTCTTCCAAACAAAAGTTAATCAAGAGGCATGCCCTACCGAGGTCCTGAGTCATGCGGAAGATGCCAAATCACCCCGCTGCAGACAGACAGGTCTGCCCATGCCCTGCCGAGGTCCTGAGTCACACAGAACACACCGAATCAGCCCGCTGCAGACAGGCAGGTCTGTGCACGCCCTACCGAGGTCCTGAGTCATGCAGAAGACACCGAATCACCCCACTGC